TGCCAAAAGGAAAATGCAGTGTTGTGAGATGCGTGCGGCATTGCAAGGAAGAGAACCCAGATGCATAATCCCAAAACCCCAACCTCTCCCTGAGGTGGCGCGGCCCGCTACCACCTGGAGGGCCCGCGTGAGCCAGGAGGCCAGGCTGTCGAAAGGAGCTGGGGCGTTCATCCTAACCTGATGGGTTCAAGGGTTTAGGGGGCCTCCGCTGTAGAATCGGTGCAGAGGGGAGTTGGGCGGGCGACGCGGCAAGCAAAAGGGGTCAGGGGTTCAGGCCCTAAGTGTTTCTCGAGGGTGTGAACAAACAAGCCTTGCAGATGCTCAGGGGTTTCGGATTGGACGGATTCAGCCGCATGAGCCTGTTTCGGATTTGGATGAAAGCGAGAGCTTCACAGGTCACAGCAGGTCTCTTCCAGCCCCCTGTGGAAGAAGAGGTCGCTGGGCTACAACTCGCCTTGCCTTGGTGCTCGGCTAGGGTCTCCTGGGCTCGAGTGATAAGGCTGAGAGTCCACCGACATTTTGGGCTTCGTTTCATTTCTGGACGTTCTTCATGCCCTGGGCCCCTTAAACTGCACCCTCAACACAAAGAACCTCAAGAAGCCTGGCAACTCGCGAAGGTTCCCTGGTACACCTATGCCCGGGAGATGCAGCAGAAGCTCCTCCGCCTGAGTCTTCTCTTGTCTTCTCTTGTCTTCTCTTGTCTTCTCTTGTCTTCTCTTGTCTTCTCTTGTCTTCTCTTTGGCTGACGCTTTTGACAAGAGGTGTGCTCTTCTGGCACTTTTCGGGATGCCTTTCTTCGGGTATGAAGTGGGCTGGCCGTGGTTTTGTGTAAAGGCATGTGCCGATAACGCACTCCACATCACTAGCAGGGGTCTCGACCACCTTGTTAGGGACAAGGGTTCGTGACTTATAATGGCCCAGCCTCCAAAGCCCTCCGGCAGCACCATTTGCTGTCAGAATCACATGCCAGGCTCCTGAACCCGGAGGATCCGTATGGGCTTAAGGCGAATGCCTTGGCAGCTCCTTGCCTATGGTGGGCTTTGGGCGCCAAAAGGTCGCAGTTTGGCAGTCTCTTGAGCCTTCCAGTGAGTTGACACTTGAGGGCCTTGGGAAACCCTCTTTACATGTATACATCCACGAACCACCTCAGCCCTTGCCAGCCTGGTTACGCCCTCCAAAAGCAACATCCAAGCCATCTTCTTCAGAGCTTGGCTGAGGTCGTGGAAGCTGTCGAAAAGGCCGAAGGCCGTGGCATCGTGCGGCGGGCGTACGAGCAGTACTCCGCTGGTTGCGCCCGGTGCATCTGTAGGCCCCACGTCCCTGACGGCTTGAGGGCTTTTTGGGCTTGGGGCCTTTTTGATTTTTTGGGCCCAGTGGGGATAGGACGCCAAAAGGGAAGGGCTGGACCGCAAAACCAAGCGTTTGCAGGGAGGGCCAAACCCTGGCTTTGCTTTCTATGAAGATGGCCATGCCTCTCATCTCAAGACCCCAAACAGCACTCATAGGCTTCCCCATGGCCTGCGGGTGCTGCTCTCAAAGTGTTTTTTCTTTGGGGGCGGTGTAGGGGGGCGGGGGGGGGGGGGGGGGGGGGGTGTAGGAGGCTCCAGGAAAAATGAGAGACAGCACAGCGAATGCCCCGATGACCCCAAACAGCCACCAAATATAGATTCGAAGGCAAGGTTGGTGCACCTGCGTGTGGGTCCGGAAGGTGATTACCTGGTGGCGGCCTCGGCCGTGATTTAGGGTGCACTCGGGGCTTCCGTGAGACAGTGTTTACGGCGTTTACGGGATGCCGTCATTGCACGTGCCTGTTGTGGTGGCTTACCTAGGTATAGGGGCAACGCAGGCTTTGTGCAATCAATCTGAGTTCTGGGGGCCCACCTAGACGTCTCAGCAGTAGGGCCTTGTTCAGAACGATTCGGCCAAAGAAAAGCCCTCTCCCCCTGAACCTCAAATCCTTGAGGCTGGTCTGCATCCAGCTCTACTCCTGTGTGGCCATGTGGTGCAAGTGTGCTCGATGGTGCTGCTTTCCTTAACAGAGCACATGCCAGGGTACAGGCTTGTTTGGGGCGCCCCGCCAAAAAAAGTCCTGGGCTTCGTGCTGAGCCTCATCTCATTGTCAGGCGGTTTCTGGAGAATCAAGGTCAAAGCGAAGACAAAGAATAGACTAGCAGATGCTGGGGGGCTTGCTTGTCTGTTGGGCTGCAAACACTGGTGTACAGTTTCTGCGTCGTGATAACAGGGGGCAGGAGCCTGAATTAGGGGGCGGTTTAGGTTTTAAGGGACGTCGACTCAAGCAAGCCTGCTGCAAAAAGGGATGACGTCCAAGGTATGTGCTTCCCTGCCCGGTGCATCAGGGCCGCTTGGATGTCTTGGAAGGTTCGAACAGAGTTCAGGCTATTCAGGGAGTATCTCTGCTTGTGGGGTTTGGGCAGCTTTAGCTGGGGCCGGGGGCGCATCACACGCCCCAGGCTCCTCACGGCTCCTCCAACAAATACGGCAGGCGGCAACCTAGTCCCTTGACTGAACCCCAAACTGTATCGAAGGTAGTTTGGCCGAAAGGGGGCTGCTAGGCCTACAAACCTGCCCTCGAGCAGCCTATGGGGCTTGGCCATGGCCTTTTGCATCTCACATGTGCCGAATCGGTATGAAGACCCTTTCTGAATCTCAAACCCTGAGTCGTCAGGGTTTTCACAAGAATGTTCCTGCAACACCCCCCCAGGACTTCCTTGTTGAGCTTTGTTTCCTTGTGGCCACCCCCATGAAGAGATGAAAAGAGGTTCCTTCTTGGTCTCCTACTGGTCGTTGGAAACCAGGCTCCGGCGCCGTCCCCTTCATAGAGTCGCAATCCAAACCATGGAGGGCTGGGGAGCCTCCCTCAGCCACGGACTCTTGAATATTCTGAAAACCTTCCATCCCTCAACAACCCGAGGCCCGAAGCCCCATGAAGTCTGATGGCCTTGATTCCTCGCCCAGGCTTTCCTCTTCCTCCGCCAACCAGAGAGGTTCGACCACTGGGACCCAGCACCTTGCCTGCGCTTCTGGGGGCGCTTGGAATGAAGGGTCTGCTTGATGGACTCAGGAGAGTGATATCTAGGGCTCAGGCCGGTTCAGGGTTTAGAGCAAGTAGGCCGTGCAAAGGTGCGGCTTGGGCTGATGCTCTGAGTAGGGTTCGATAAAGATCAAGTAGGATTTAGGAATTTAGGGCATGTGCAAACACCCCCGGCCCCATGGCCAAATTGCTGGTGCTATGCGAGTCTGCTGCGGCATTTTGTCATGCCAGGAGGAAGCCATGCGGAACACGACTCTGCTCAATAGCCGCTTGTCTCTGGACTTGTGCTCTGCAAATCGTTCTTGGGATCCCACGTCCACTCCGCAACCAAGGGGAGGCCAGCGCAACCCACACGAGCTTTACCGCCTGATTCCACAGCGGTGGTGGTATGTCCTTAAGGATCGAATGGGGGTAGAGTGTTTGCTGTTCCACAGAGGAATGTGACAATCGTATCGCATCACTGCAGGGCTAGAACTCTGCAAATGAGACGGCCAGAACTCCGAAAATAAGACTGCCCATGATGGCCCTAACCATCTACCTTGGCATCCGCTGAGCCTCTTATCTCTTGAAGGGTTTCGCAGTTTGGGCCGTGCCAAAGACGTCGGCACAAAGGTTGCCGGCACAGTGCGGTGTGGCGAAGGGCTTGCCTCGCCACCATGCCGACCGTAGATGTGATCCAGTTGAGCCAACGCTCCCTCCAAGAATTCCAGTTTCCTTGAACGAGCAACCTGCGCAAGGAGGCCAGGGAATGCTCAGCTGGTATCGGGGACAGGAATCTCACGTGCGAAGCCTGCTAGTGGCCGACTTCGCACCATTGTTCGGTTTTACGACCAATGGGCAGCTGTCAAGGGCACGCAGAATTGATCCGAAAGACAGACCCGCATGTATGCACCATGTAGGACATGGGCGACATCGGAGAGCAATTGCCCAAAGTTTGACAGCTACCTCGATGGCATTAGCACAGCTACGCCGCATGCGAAAACTGCTTGGCACGGGAAATGTCTGCAGATTCTTGCCCAACAAAATCCCTAAAGCCCGAAACCCTGAATGTCCTGCATGCCGTACTGTCATGCTCTCACTCAGCCTGTGCCTGAATTTAGCAGAAAGACGGCAGATTTTGTTTTTGAGGAATTTCGAGGGCTTAGTGTTGGGCAAAGATGGGTTGCTGCGACAACTGTTGTGGAGTCCAGGTGGAGGAGTGCAAAGGCTTCAGCGTGATAGAATCGTGTGCGCATTGCACTCCTTCTCCTTCTCCAGGGAGTGACGGCCTTGTGTCCTATGGCACTTTAGGAACCATGCAGGTACTTGAACTCAGTTAAGCAAGCAAAAGCCCTAAATCCCTCAAACCAAAACCCATTGATGCTGCCGCGGCCGACAGCTTTCCAGGGCAGGGGAGGGCCCCGAGACCCCGACACCCTCCAAAACCAAGAATAGCCGCCACTCAGCCCGGGAGGTTTATAACCATTGAGCCCCCAAGTCGGACCGGACCGAACTTGGACCTTTCTCCCAAAGTTCCGAGGGGCCGGTGCAGAATAGAGTGCCTTTCTGTCTTGAGCCCCTGCCTCTGTGTTTTTGGTCCCGGGGGGCAGTTTGTGTCCTCCCCGGCGCCATGTCGAAGTCCGTGCCGGCCCCTGCGCCGAAGGCGAAGGCCCTGCGAGCTGGGAGTGGAGGGCTTTGTGTGGGTCACCCTGAGAAGAGCTTTGGTTTGTTTTCTAGGGGGAGAACAAGAACAGGGCCAATGGGGTTGGGTTCGGAGGCGTTCCGGGAAACAAGGCCGGACATTTGGGAACTCAAGGGCTTTGGGTTGTTTAAAGGGCTTTTCGGGTGTTTATAGTTGCTCTTTGGCTTTAATTAAAGAACATGGGTCGTTAACCTAGTGACCTGGTAAATCCCACTTGTTTGAGCTGAGGCGGGTCTCAGCGCGGGTCGCAAGAAGCAACTCCGGGAGATGTTCCGCTGTGCAGACAAGGCGATGGAGGGTTGAGTCTGGGTGTGTGGGTGGCTGGCAAATGACCCCTCAGGGTTGCTGAAACTCTTGAAAGGTTTCTGCCCGCTGTCCAGCCGACTCGTGCTTTGGAAAGAGAGCGTGGGAACAGCAAGGATGGCTACGAAGTCTCCACCCGTTTCTGCAGGATGCATCCGGACTCCTGAGCTTCACCGAGATGTCCGTCATTCTTCGAGAAGGAAACCCAAGTTTGACGGACAAGGACTCCCGGCATCGTCGGGTTACAGAGGCTGGTTCGGATTGAGGGCATCGCCCTTCAGACTGATTGAGGGACTGTCGAAGTCGTATTGCGAGTTTGTTGATGACGACAGAAGCCCGTCGAGCCAGTCTCACAATAGAACCTTCAGTTGAGGAGTTGGCCATGCTCTTCCGAGAGATCGACACCAATGGCGCCTCAGATGTGCACGGAACAGAATCCACCTTAAACACCACTGAGCTGAAGCTCTTGGGTTGAAGCCTCGATTACACCCGAGCTGCTTCTTGCCAGGCGACCTGACCGTGGACTTCAAGGAGTTCGCCAGGCAAGTTCTGGTCGGTAGAATGCTGCCGAAGGGCCCCCAAAACAGTGCCCTCCTCCCTGAATCCCAGACGCCTCCCCCACCCTTTCTGGGCAGATACCTGAACTCGAAGAGTGCGGCCAAGCTCCAGAAGACCAAGTCCCGGGAGCAGGCTTCCGGAAGATGGGCCTTTGCAGGGGAGGGGGGGGGTTGGGGGGAGGGGGTCAACTTTGACGCGTGGTAGAAGATCCAGGGCGAGTACGGGGCTTGGTTGGGTGGGGGAGCTTGCGTTTTGCGTTTTGTCGCCGGCTTTTGACAGGTCGTGGCGGAGCGTTGCAAAGAGGAGCGCGGAAAGCGCTTGGTTTTGGCTTGAAGCGCCCAGTCACCGCCACTGAGCTTGGTGCAGCCCACAAGTGCCAGGAGTTCCGGAAGGTGGATGACAACAGCGATGGTAAGCTGAGCCGGGAGGAGCTAACGGCGCTCCTGCGGAAGGTGCGCCGTCTTCCTTGGGGGAGGTCGAGTTTGGGATTCAGGGCTTGCGCGAATCATAGCCTCAACCCTGAGGTGAGTGAGCCCAAAGAGCATTACCGTTCTTGAGGTAAAGCAAGAGGCTAAAACCCGTGAAGTAGATGTTGCCAAGCTCGGCGGGTGCCTTTCCTTGTGAACTCTTGTAAACAAGAGCGTCCGGGGAATGCAGGTTTCGGAGGTCCAGGTGTAAAATTTTTCCGTCGGCTGCGACTCTGGTGTTTGCTGGCGATGGGTCTGGACTGGCGAAGCCTCCGAAAGCCCTGCGCTAAGCTCTGCGAAATTTTTACCCAAAGCCCACCAAAGCTCGTGAAAGAGGCCCAGAAGCTCCTCCCCCCTTCTCCATCACACCTTTCTGCGGAGGGAAATCCAGAGATTGACCAGAAAGAGCTGGACTTCCTCTTCGACACAGTGGACAAGGACCCTCAAGACACCAAAAAAAGGCCCAAGGCTGAGGCAAAGAGCCCCAGCCCCCCCCCCTCCCCCCCCCTGCCCCCCAAGCAAGGGTTAGGGTTGGAAGGGTTAGGGTGTTAGGGTGCCTGGCGTAGTCTGCCTTTCCGGCTCCCCCCTCGCTTGGCTCCCGGGTTATGATTTGGGGTTTCAAGCCCGTAGACGCTGTAGTTGGGTTGTTTGTTCGTGCCCTCAGAAGCAGGACCGTTGGCATGAGTTACTCTCGGACAAGCCCAAGCAAGCTGCAGGGAGTCTAGGGTGTTCTGAGCTTCCCGGCAGCTGCGAAGTCCTGGTTGCAAAAAGGGTGTTCTTGGGTTGGGGGGGGTGGTTCTGAGCAGCAGTTTTATGCGCCCATCGTGATATTGTTGCACCTCTGAGCTCTACTCCCCCAGGGGGCACCCCGGAGTTGAGTCAAGATGCTCGGTATGGTGTTCAGGCTCCAACGGGTTCCGAGTTTGTTGAGAACGCCCGAGAGCGCGCTCTGTGGCAGGAACCTGCGAGGTGGTTTCATGTGCTGGGGCGGGTCTTACAAAGCAGTTCTCCTCTCACCGATGGGAGCCGAAGTTGTGCTCGCAGGACGGCAACGGCCAACTGGACTTCGACGAGTTCACCGACTACATCACGGGCGCGGCGTCTATGCCCATCACGTCCCGCCTGCTCCAGGAGGAGAAATATTGACCAAAGCGCCCTCCCCAACCTAAATTCCGAAGCCGGAATCCTAAAGCCCGGAATCCTACGGCCAGAAGCTCATCAGGTGCAGAGGGTCCCGGACCCTCTGCGCCTGATGAGGCGCATGGCTAATTCTGTTGTCCATCCTTATGTTAGCCGCAGTTGCAACATCACGAGGATGTCTAGGCATCTCTTGCGAGATGGAGTGCTTGATGCTGCTTACACTTGCACGTAGACCCTGCCAATGGTGGGTTCGTCCACGAGGTCATTAAGTAAGTCAAAAAGACATGCACGCACATTGACAACATAGAAGAAGCGCGTTGCAGTTTCTAGTCGCGTGCCGTTGGCTGTTGGAGTTCTCGGCCATGGCGCCAGCAACATCCAGCGCTCTGGCGCAGGCGCCGAGCTTCGGGCGGCGGGCGCTTGTGGCCGCCACAGCTTGTGGCATCGCTGCCTTCGCGGCTCGCGGCGCAGCCACGTGGCTTCAGAATGCTTTGTTGTACCACCCTCGGCCTATTCCCGGCGACGTGTACTACGAAAAAGTCATTGCCGACATGTCGTCCAGATTGCGGCAACAAGGCTACAGAATCAAAGAGGTGGAGTATCTTGTGCAGAAGAGGCCTCAGAAGGCGCTCCTAGTCCGGCCTGAGGAGATGACAAATTGCCCATTGTGGTTGGTCTTTGGTGGAAATGCCATGGTTTCAGCTGACTGGCTTCCCTTTTGCGAAGCTGCTCTCTCCATGAAGGATAAACGGGCCACGGCGCCATGCTTCCTACTGGTGGACTACCCTGGCTTCGGCTTCAACAGCGGCAAGCCCTCCCCCAGCGCCGCTTTGGAGTCCTCCAAGCTGGCCCTGGCGCAGTTGCTAATCGACCTCGGAAGCAAGTCGCCAGAATCCATCAACCTGCTTGGGCACAGCTTGGGGGCAGCAGCTGCCTCGCAGCTTGCAGCAAACCTTTCCAAGTCTCCGGAAGTGCGGACTGGTCGATTGGTTTTGTCGTCGCCTTTTCTCAGCGTCGACGAAATGGCAGCGGTGTTGTTTGGCGGCCTGCTGCCACGCTGGCTTCTGCGGCTGCTGGTGACCCATCGGTGGAACAACGCAGAGACGGTGCCTGTCGCAGCTGCTGCCGGCTGGCAGGTCTCCATTGTGCACCCGCCAGGCGACGAGATCGTCCCTTTCCAGCACGGAGAGGAGTTGCGCAAATCCGTCCAGGCTTTGGGAAAGGAGTGCGAGCTACTGCGGCCAAAGGGGTGTGGACATAACGACGTTCTGTTCGCTGCGCTGCCCTCTTACGTCAAGCTGATGGGACTGAGTCGATTGTAATGTGCCAGAAGCAAATGCTGCATGCTTGGCGTTCTAGAGCGTGCTTCCGATGGTGTTTCTGCTGTGACAGATGTGCCTTGTGGACAGAGCCTGTTCAAGTGACAAGCCAGAGTTACTGAACGGCAAGTCTGTGATCCTGCTTGTGTGTGTGTGTGTGTGATGTTGACTTGCCTGCTTGCTGGGGACAACTATGACTCGGGCCGGCCACTCATTTGCTTGTGCAAGTTGTGTAGCACTGGACAGTGTGTGGTACCGTATGCAGAACGGTCAAAAAAAAGGATTGTGAGCCCCGAACAGCTGCGGTCCTAATCAATGCGCCCTTTGCCCCCAACCCTAAGCCCTACAAACCCTGAATTCTACACCTACCCCTGAGGCCCTAGGACGACATGCGCAAATAAGAGAAAGCTTGAGGACGTAGGCCCTGAGCCTGACCTGCCTTCCTGGAGCGAGACAGTGCCCGTGCCGAAGGCGACGCTGCAGGGAGTTTAGGTTGTGTCGGTGTCAAGGCAAGGGTGTCGAGAATGGGCAGTACCGCCGGCCCCAGGCTGTAGATGTAGATCACGCAGGGAAGGTACATCTTTCCTGGCAGTGACAGTGCAAACATGATTCTTCTCTGCCAGCGTGTCGATACACCTTGGGAGCTGTGCGAAGACTTCATTTTGGGTCAGGTGCCATTTGTGCCTCATTTTCTCCTTCGTTAGGGCCCCCTATATCTGGCGGAAGGCGTACCTTCAGCAGTCCATCATACCCGCCGAGCTCCGCGGTGTTTCGCGTGAGCAGCTCGCTGAGCTCATGGCTCTGGTCGTCGAGGCAGGGTGCCAGCATGGAACACAGCATGGAACGCACTACAGCCTCGGTGTGTAAAACTTTGTAAGCCCGTAAACCCCACACAAATTCAAGTCAGAAACAGACACCTGGCCTTTCACAGCGGAACACCTTGCTACTTGGATGAAGGAAGAGGTACAGCCGCTAAAGACACCAACCCCCTAAACCCTCAACCCGGAGCCCCTAGCCCTGAGCCCTAAGCCTGCCAAACTCTGCAAGGGAGAGGAGTCGGGGCTGTGTAAGTGTTGCTCCAGACCATGCTCACCCACCCCTCACCGGACCCTCAAGTGGACCCTCCTTAAGCCAAGACATGACATGTATATATGTATATATGTATATATGTATATATGTATATATGTATATATGTATATATGTATATATGTATATATGTATATATGTATATATGTATGTATGTATGTATGTATGTATGTATGTATGTATGTATGTATGTATGTATGTATGTATGTATGTATGTATGTATATGTATGTATATATGTATATATATGTATGTATATATGTATATATGTATATATGTATACATGTACATATGTATATGCACATGTGCATGTGAGTGTAGTGCAGTGTAGACAGGTACAAACAAATATTTGTAGTACATGTATGTATCTAATATATATACACATACACACAAAGACATACACACATGGTTCCGTGTCCCGTCCCTAAACCCTCAACCCTGAACCCTCAACCCAAACCCCAACCACACCACCCCACAGGGGGGCCCAAACCACAGGGGGGCGGGGCGGGGAATAAACCCTAAACCCGAAACCCTAAACCCTAAACCCTAATCCTAAACCCTAAACCCTAAACCCTAAACCCTACACCCTAATCCCTCAACCCAAACCCCAACCGCACCACCCCACAGGGGGGCCCAAACCACAGGGGGGCGGGGCGGGGACCCTAAACCCTAAACCCTAACAGTTCCTTCCGGTGGTGTGGGAGACCACTAGGCACCTACGGGTACGTAACTTCAATTTCCCCCGGTGCACGACCGGAAAGGTGGGGGTTACCCACCGCCTTGGCGAGGGGTTTGGCTGGCCCTAGCTTAGCGTGCGATAGGGACCCGGCGCAGGATAACCGGGGGTTGTGAGAGGGGCGGGCTCACAGACGACGACGCGACTGCCGGCGCGCGCGCCGGCGCGACGAGTTTTCGAGCGACGACGGGCAGGGCACATGACTCTAACCCTGTCGCATGCAGAGTCATTCAATGAAACATGTCCACCAATTCTTCGTCGGGACGTGTACCAGGTCAATGCAGGGGATCCGCCGAGCGATCTTCTGGGGCCAGCAACCCTGTTTCAAGAAGCAGCTTTTCGTATCGGGAAGCACAGCTACTGGCGCGTGCACAACGAGATGCTCGTGACCTGGAGAGGGCTGGGGCGATGCCGTCCAGTCCAGATCCAAGGGCACTCAACGAGAGCTTCACGTTGGCGGCAGATATCCTTTCGGGGTCGTCTGCTAACACGTTGGCCGACCGATACATGGCAGCTGTTTCCCTGGGGTTGGCAAGGAGGCAATGGGAAAGTGAAGCGGGCATGTCGGATGATGCGTTGCGCGAGCGGGCTCGATCTAGCTCAGACGCGCCACAGCACTCCATGCCGTCGGTGGAATCTACCAACGCTTCCAAGCCTTCGTCAGGGGCAAGCAGGGCAGCTCGGAAAAGACTAGCCGCCTTAAGCGGCCCTCCTGCGACGTGGGAGGAAAGGGCAGAGCGACCTCCTCTCCGCGCCCAAGAGGGCCGGATGAGTCGCAGGCTCCTAGCTCAAGCCATTGGCCGAGTGTAAGGGCGCTGAAGACTCTGGATGCTGCTAAGGTCAGTCTGGTCCTCAGCCTCCTTAGGGTCCCTACGGATCCTTTTCAGACGTGGGTAGAAAACCAGATATCACGGCGCAGGGCGGTTAAAATCTTTTGTGAACTGCAAGATCGAGCCACGTGGTCTGACATCCTCCTTCGCAGACTCTGGAATTGGGGGCATCGCGCCCGTAGCACGGAAGACACGCCAGCTAGGGCCCTTTTTCAGTCTAGCACCAGCATAGGCGTCGCGTGTGGAGGGGGGGCCGAAAACAGCTCCCGATACTAGAGGAGGACATGTAGTAACCCGGGACCATTCATTGTATACCTACTGAGGGGTGGAGCCCGCTGCTGGGGCCGAAGACAGCTCCTGACACTCGTAAAGAGTAGCCCTCCTTTGAGCATGTTGGTCACAGCACCCAACGAGGTGCTCGATAGAATTGTCCAGGCCTGCCGCCTATCCATATAAGTTCCCTTCCCCTTACCTGGTATGGCATAGGCTGGTTGTAGTGGCAACTGGTTCCTGGAGGAAACAAGGTGGGTGGAGACCTGGCATAGTTGTACAAAGTCATCAACCAAGCCAGTACCGCAGGCCAAGGTATCTGCTTACTGTGCTCAGATACCGGGGGGGGGGGGGTGTAGTCCGGTTGTGCTTTTACGGGTTACCGGTCAACATGTGACAAGATTCTTCGGTCATGCTTGGTCCAGGCGCGGAACGCCCCCCCAGACAAACTTTCAATCCGCTAACGTTGTCCTACCATGAATGCCTTATGGGCGATATCCCCTGTGGCCGTTCACACACAGCCTGGGGGTGACAGTTCTTCTTTTCTAGTTTCCGACCTTGTGCCCCGCATTGCCGTGGCGAGACGGGTGGCAAAAAAACCCTAAACCCTAAACCCTAAACCCTAAACCCTAAACCCTAAACCCTAAACCCTAAACCCTAAACCCTAAACCCTAAACCCTAATCCTAAACCCTAAACCCTAAACCCTAAACCCTAAACCCTAAACCCTAAACCCTAATCCACGCAGGGGGGCCATGGGGGGGGGGGGGGTACCATGGGGGGGGGGGGGGGGGGGGGGGGCAGCGACGCTGCACCATATGCATACATACATACATACATACATACATACATACATACATACATACATACATACATACATACATACATACATACATACATACATACATACACACATACGTGCATACATATATATATATATATATGTATGTATTTCTGCAACCATATGTTGTAGCCCGAAAAACAAAGGGGTCCTGGTAGGCTTTTCCACCATTGCCCTCAGAAGGTCTTCGACAAGTGTACCGTCACCAATGGGACCGAGACCCTCACCCTCCCGGGCCTTGACATGTTCGGCCTCGTGGCCAAGCTCCTCGGCCTTGAGGGGGCTCTGAGGTTTCCGGTACATCTTTCCTGACTTTCAACGCCGCATGGCCTGCAAGCCCAAACCTTCTCTTGGGGTTTACCCCAGAAAGGGGGTAAAAAGGATACAGAATCCCCCACATGCAATCGCAGAATCACTGGCAGGAGGGAGCTCTGAAGCATCCCAAAGTCCCAATAGGGTCCTAAATAGCAGCCTGTGCACGCACTCCGAGGTTCTTGAAGCCCATCACCGCAAAGTTCCGGTGTTCCTTTGGGGAGCTTGTCAATCGGGAGCCCAATGCACCTTGGGGGCAGGCCCCTTAGTCTTAGTTTTTTCTCATCCTGGGTCGGATGTAGCAAGCCCTGCCCGAAGGCCTGTAAAGCCCATGATAGTAAGGGGCTTTTTGAAACCTCTTGCAGCCAGTGAAAATCCTAAACCGAGCAAACCCTGAACCCCAGTGTTAAGGAGCCCACGTGGTTCATCAGCCACTTTTGGGGGACGCCGCTGTTGCAGACAGAGGAGACCTCCTCAAGGGGCGCTTCAGCACAAAAAACCTTGAGGGTTTGGGGTGTCAGGTTTTGGAATGTTTGGGATTTTGGGTTCAGGCGTTTGGGAGGTCTTGGGTCAGTGCAGAGGAGATGCTGAAGCAGCACGCGGCCCAGAGGAAAATACGGAAGCAGACTCCCCTGTGGATTGACGCCTTCGCCACCTGCCTCCACGACCCAATGCAGGTTTTTCCCAGTCCGAAGGATCTGGAGCAGGCGCCCTTCTGCAAGGTCTTGCTCAGCCCGCGCTGTGAGGGGACACTCCTCCTCTTGGACAGCACCGGTGCAGCCTTGGAGCGGACGTGGTGCTTGCTGGAAGTCACTCTGACCCTGGACCTTCCCAAGGAGAGGGGGAAGTTGAAATGTTTTTGGCAGATTTTGCGAAGTTTGAACCCAGAGCTCACCCTGAACTCCTAAACCCTTCCAGGACAAGGGTGCCTTTCACGCCTTCGACGTGGCGGCCTGGCTTCCCGATGAGGAGAAGGTCGCGATCCTGCAGGACACGGGCTCCAGCTTCGAAGACACCCAGACCGCCGCAACCTTTCCGGTGAACCTCTACATCAAGGGTTACAAGGTCGGAACTTGCGGATGTTCCCCCCCTTATACTAACAGCTCCTTAATAGGGATTGCTGCGTACCCTTCCGGGTACTCTGGGACGAAAGCTCTACATGCACGTTGACACCTCGAAACCAGAATCTCGGGACCTCTCCCTGGAATCCGATGTGCATGTGTCCGCAGGTGGCCGTGAACAAGTCGGGGGCTAGCTTGGAGGAGAACACGAGACTTGTCTGTCCCTGCCCGACAGCCTCAAGCCACACCATACGAACGTGAGGCGTCCAGTCCTCGAATCCTGCATTGCTCAGGAAGCGAATCCTACACTTCCTGGCCAGCACGCCGGCCGATCGTTGGGATAAGGCATTGGGGGCTTTTGGAAGTCTCGGTGTCATGCAAAGGGGGACATGGGCATGCGCAGGTGAAGCCTCCTGCCGAGTGCAAGGGCTACTCCGATGTTGATGCGCGCATCCAGCGCAGATTCGTCCCGGGAGCCCTTGCTGCAGCGGCGATGTTGGATGACGAGAAGACCCTGAGAAAGATTCTCTCTGAGCACGGGGACTTCAAAGAGAGCACCACAGCCAACGGGTTCCGGCCCATGCATGTCGCCGCGCAGAAGAACTGCATGACGGCCCTCAAGACACTCGTGGCTGTCAAGTGCGACCTGGATGCACCCAGCAAAGGTGGGCAGACGCCGCTGCACGTGGCCGCAAAGGAGGGGAGCGAGACGGCGGTACAGCTCCTGTCGCTTCGACAAGAGCAGAACTTCAAATTTTTTGTATGTCAGAAGACTGAAGGTCAGCCATACTCCAAGTTCATGACACCCGTGCTCCCCGAAGCCCGGTAACCTCCAAACCTTGCCAAACCTTGCAAGTGCCTGTGAAAGCACACCTCGATTGCAGGCTCAAGGCCCGAGCGGACATGAATGCGCTGGCCGAGGGGCAGACTCCATTGCACGCCAGCATCGAAGGCTTCGGCTTCGGGCTGTCAGATTGAGATTTGTTGAAAGGTGTATCTAGGTGTATCAGAGGGGCCCCAAAGGCTGCAACACACAGATGTGCCTGGGAGTTTCGGCCGCAAAAAGGCGCGCAGATCACCGTCACCGGCACCTTACTCGACTTTAAGGCGGACGCGAACATGGCACCGCTCGGGCAGTACACTCCCCTCCAGATGGCAGCGCGAACTGACCAGGCGGCGATGTGCGGACTCTTGGCCCGATGTTGTGCAGAGTTTCCCATCGTTGTATCGGAAACAGAGCAGAAACCGCTTCGAGCAAGACAAAACCCATCAAGGGCCCTAGGCTCCCTAAGCCCTTCAACCCCTCGAACCCCAAAGCTCTTGGCAAAAACCGTAGATCCTTTGTTTAGAGGTTTGAAGAAGAGTGCCCTGGAAGAGAGCGCGCGCCTGCCGAGTTCGCTCCAGGTTTGCTCCTGGACTTCAAAGCCGATCCTCTCCAGACCTCGCCGGATGGCCAGGACGTAGTAGCGGGCCATTTTAGGGGTCAATGGCTCGTGAGTCTAAAGAAAAGACCTTGCTAGCAGCTAGCATACGCTAAAGTTTACCAGGGTGGCGGCTGGACTTGGGGCTCGAAGCCTCAAACTCAAAGTCGGTGCGCCCCGTGCGTGGCGAGGCCTAGGAGGTGTTGTACCCTGGAGGAGCTACACCAGATGGCGGAACCCAAGTCCAAGCTTCAGGAGACCTGAGTGTGCGGGCTTTCTGTGCCTAAGCCCAAGCCCTGTGCAAACCAAAGGCCCCGTGCAAACCAAAGGCCCTAAACCCGAACCTGGAGCCTCGGCCGCTTGTGCCGAGAAACGACGCCCTACACAGGCTCCCAGACTCAAAGCGCTAAACCAAAGCCCTCAAGCCCTAAAGCCCCAAACCTAAAAAACCTGACACCCCGAACCCCTCAAAAACCCCTGCAACCCTGAGAAACCCTGATTCCCCTAAAGCCCCCGAAGCCCCTCAAAGAGCCTGCAAAGGAGACGCTGAAGCTGGCGGAGGACCAGGCCAAGGCCGGGCTCCGCCGGAGCCGGCGCCCTTCTGTGCCCCCCGGGCTTCAGCTTCTTGTTGCTTCGGGTTTTAGGGCTTTGGGCTTCGGGCTTAGGACTTGGGGCTGAGGGCTTAGGACTTAGGTAGGGCTTTGGGTTTAAAGTTTAGGGTGGGAGGGGCGGTTGGCGGGACAGATTCGGTTTTGCTAGGGTCCTGGGGTTTGATTCGGGCTTTTCAGGGGGACAGTGTTCATGAGATCTGGGTGCGTCACTGCTGGCCCTTCATGTGTGGGGTCTAGCCTGGCCCTGGGTTTTGGCTGCCGAGGGTGATGTGCCCTGCTTGACTTGAGACTCGCGTGTGAAACCTCTGGTTATATCTAGAGTGGCTGCCCGCCAGCCACGGAGCGGAAGAGCCCCTCCCAGAAAACCCAAGCCCTCAACCACAAAACCCAGGTCCGAAGCCAAGTTGGTGAAGGACGCCCGACCGACTGAGGGACTTCGGGGAGTGTGGTGGCTTTCAGGGTGTCGGGTTGGGCTATAAGTTCAGGATGTTGAGGTCCCTCAACATACGCAAAGATGTATGCAACGTGTCGTTCGCAATTGTGGTACATGCTACTGGTACCTGTTGCCGGCACTGTGGCCTGAATGCAAAAGGTTCGAGAGAAGTCCTAAACTGCCCAAGCCCAAACCCCATGCTAAACCTAAGCTCCCGAAACCCCCAACTCGAACTGGAGGTTCAGTGCTCGTAATTTCCGAACACGAAACTGGAGTCTAGGTTTGAGGGAACAAGAGCCGTTTTAATGGATGTTTTGTACACATTCGACTGTTTTAATGTATATTATATACATACATACATACATACATACATACATACATACATACATACATACATATGTACATATATATATATATATGTATGCATGAATGACTGACCATATACTACATCATTATGCATATTGTATATGTTATGTTTTTTTTGCTTGCCTGGTCGGCTTCTCGTAGTGTCTGTATGCATCAGGGACTTAGTTTCCGAGCGTTTCCTGGCTCGGAGGGGAAGAAACCCTAAACCCACCCTAAGCCCTAAAAGGCCGGAGCTTTTGAACCAAGGATTTGTCCACAATTTGCAGCGAGTCCGTAAAGACCGGGAGGGCGAAGTCAAGTCGAGGTGAGTGACGCCGGATTGCCAGGTCTCACCGTTGTTGACAGCAGGAATTTCAGTAAGAATCTGTGGCAGCAGGGTCTTTTCTTAAAACAGATTACAGAAATCTGAAGCTTCTGAGAAGGCGTACGATGCTACTCTACTTGTACTTGCACGTGCGAAGTATCGACGTGCGGTGACGTCACGGCATCTTAGCCTGGCCTTTCTGCTGCCTGTCTCACCCTGATGCCTTCCGCCCAAGGCGTGGCAACCAGCTGGCAAGTTCTGAGCCTAGGGTTTAGGGCCAAAGTTTAGGGTTCAGGGTTCAGGGTTTAGGGTTGAAGCCCACGAACCTCAGGCCATCAATCTTGAAGCCCTTCATTCTGCTACACAGCCGGTGAAGATGGGGGCCAGCTTTGTTCGAAATTCGGGGCATGAGCGATGCAGCACCAGATTGGCGGCTTCTTCCACAGCGGGACCCCGGACCCAGGGAGCTCCACACCCCACAACTAGGAGTTTAACCTTGAACTCCCGGTCTGTTCCTTTTTGGGTCTTGGGGCTCTCTGGATGCCTCCCGAAAATTCATGCTCTCAAGGCGTTCCGGGGGTCTTTGGGCTTTCCAGTAGGGGAGGGTAATCAGGAAACCTACCGGGATCTCAGGGGTCCCTGGTTTTGATGAAGGGCCGCACTTTCTGCACCCTGCACCAAGCCTTGCTGCACGATGTAGCTCTTTGACCTTTGCTGCGACCCCCGCAATTCGGCAAAAAGCAGCCCCCCAAGTTGACCGACACGGAGGGACCATGCAAAGGACCCTGATTCTCCCCCCACCCTGATAACTGTCAATCAAGAGCATCACAGCGAGTATCGAGGCATTGTGGGTCGCCGGAGATATGCCTAAAAACATCAATTAGGCAGGGGGGTTTAGGGCTCGTGGAAGTTGTGCATGCCTGGGTGGCTCTCAGCCCTTGCGACCAACGCAAGAAGGAAGAATGGGCGCAGATGCCATGCAGGACACGAATTTGCATGCCAAGTATACAAGCAACGCAGCTCGAGATCTAGATCTGAATTCGCAGGTCGGTTCAAATCTGCGCACCCACGCAAGACCAGTTGGAACCGCACAGTGCCCAGCAATGGCACGTCTTGTGAGGGAGCTCTCTGGTCCGGAGGTGCCGGGAGTGCCCCGGATGTCGACATCGCGCCCATCCCAAACTCTGCAAATCCAACACGCAAAGCCTCAAGCCTTAGTAACTCCTAGGCTTCTTGGGAGCAACCAGGCGTAGAACTGGGTGATTTCTCCCCTAGCAGCAGACGCCCAAACTCTGGAGCCTTCAAGATAGATTCCACGGGCTGAGTTTCGTGGAGGGGGAGCGCCCTTGATAGGCCCACGAGAACGGGGAGGAAAGGGTTGAGTTTTCCGACTCTGGGATGGTTCGAGGGGACTGGCGGGTGATGATTTCTCAGGGGAAAATCTTTCCGTGAAGCCTGATGTGGTGTTTGCAAGCTGCAATTCAGCTTTCCTGGTTCCTCCCCGAGCATGTTGTGGATGTCCGGCAGGATGGCACGGGGAGCCGACCACTCAGTCGGACCCGGACCCGCACGTCCAGCTTCCGCGGCAAAAGGCTGGGCTTCAGGTGATTACAGTAAGGATGTTTGAGGCTGTTATTCGAGGGCTTAGGGCTGGAAGAACAGGCCTCCCACATGCACAAGGTTTCTACATGTGCCTGAGCTCTAGGCTGTGCAGCATTGCTCTGACACAACCCTTGCCGGAAGTTCTCATCTGCGCTACCGACCGTGACCAGCCCAGCCGCCCCCTAAAACCCTAGAATATATTTAATGTAATGGATATATGTATATATATGTGTGTATAATGTACTATTGTAGTATATGCATCTTATCTCATTGTGTTTTTTCATTTGAGCATAAATCACAGATTATGGAAGATATGGCTTCAACCAGGTTTCATATCACGGCTGAAATGTTGTACTGTAGTAGTTTGAAAAATGTGTGTATATATATATATGTATATTTATTTATTTGTTTTCATTTTTAAAGTGTAGACGCCGAATCAATCAATCCACAGCCGAAAGCCACAGGGCCGACCTCCTCACCATCGAGTCCGCTGCAAAGGCACCGAGCCATGCCCATGGTCGCCTGAACCTGCCCGAGTGACCGGGCTGAAATTAGGATTCGGGCCCCATTTCCGGGGTCTTACTGTACAAGGGCGTGAACTGAACACCAGCGATAATTGATGCGGGGGCCTCAGGCACACTACCCCCCCGAAGCCGTAAAACCTCCAACCCTAACCCTAAAGCCTAAACGCAAAAGAATACCCTAAGCCCTAAACCCTATTTGATTCACAGTGCAGTCGCGCTCAGTTGCTCAGACTCAGAGACACTGCCGAGTAAACCCTATTTGCTGCCTCGGACCCCAGGATTGCAGGCCGTTCGGGTGACAAAGCTCGGCCGCTGACCCCGCGGCCCCGGCCTTCGCCAGCCATGGCACCAGCGGCTGAATTTATGGTTTCGGGCGTTGAAAGCTGATAGGGTTGAGTCTGAGCCATTTAGGATTTAGTTTAGGGTTTAGGGCTTTGGGGGGTTAAGAACTGTAGGGTCTTGGTAGATCGTAGATGCCTCTCTTTTAGAAAGGGATAGGTCAGATCATAAGCCTCCCCGCAATTGATGCCAAGTGGGGCTTTACATCTCAGACAACGCTGAAAACCAGGTGAGTTTTCGAGGAAGCAAAACAAATAGATGGAAAGGATATAATATGGTGTTTTGCTAGCTCTTCGCACCCCTTAAAAACATTATAGAACTAGACCGCTGAGTTAGGAACACACAAAAAGGACAACAGGTGAATGAGAGATCTTTGTGGGGTTCGCGCGCTCATTTTCTGTGTTTGCTTACCTGAAACCAAGAATCAAGGGAACCTCCCACGAAGAATCCTCGATGGGGGTGTGGGGGTTAGAGGCTTCGGTTTGTTTCATGTAGAGGAGCTTTTGGAGTTTTAGGCTGGTGCCCAAGAGGTGTCAAAACAGGGCTGGCTTCTCGGATTTTGTCACTTTGGGGTTCGGGTCAGTTGATACATTCCATGGCAGTCTCTTCTGACTATCTGGTATGCCAGATACGGGCTATGATATTGACTTGAGCGTTCCCGAAACTAAGCACTTGAACCTGACCAGAAGCATGAATCACTGAAACTGCTGTGGCCACTCGTAGGCTTACAGCAAATCGGTTCAAAACCCTTTGTGTGACACTCTTCAAGCTCGGAGCACCCTGAAAGAGCCCCCCAACTCCGAAAACCCGACGAGGCGGACGAAGTCGAGCTCGAAACCCGCTCCCAGCCGCTGAGCAGTTGGCGGAAGCCAACGATATCGGCTGATGCGCAGGACGTAAAAGCAGAGCACCGCAATCCTGTAGACTTCAACCTTAGCTCACTGACGTTTGAAGCAGACAATTTCTGCTGAAGTCTTTGAAGGTCCTTGGAAAGTAATAGGGCACGCTGAAAAGTTCCAAGTACAGCGCTGGATCTGAGGCTCGTCAGGCTCTTCCTTCGCAGGTAAAGGAAGGTTGGGGGCACAACTCCCTTGGGGGATGTTTGTCTTGGGCCTAAGTGCAACCAGCGTAATTATTGAGCTTGGAAAGGGCCTCACAACGGTCGCGACAGCTCTTGAATCCTGACCACAAGTCACTTGGGCGGGGTTTCCGTCGGAGGCTTCAATTCCGCCTCGGCGGAATTGGCAGCTTGTTGTTCTTCTTGCAAATGTGTCAAAGAACTCCCGACATGCAATCTTGTGGACTCGGCGAGTGTCCCATCTTCCCCATCCGGCTCGCAAGTTCCCACGAGCAGAGAGGGGGAGAGCACGATGGAGAGAGAAGTACTTGCAAGCGGAAGCGTGTCGTGCCATTGTAGACCGACTGGGCCGCAGCCCGCATGGGTGTCAATGCCAAGACGAGGCGTTTTGCATCTGATCTCGACTTCATACTGGAGCGTTGTCCTGCTCATACACATCCTCAATTTTCACAGCTGCGATCGGTGACGCTTGAAATGATCTGCACGTGTTGCCCAATTCTTACTACGCTGAGCTGAGCTCTGCAAGTCGGTTAGCAGTTAGCTGTTGGCACCGGTGATGTTGCATCGGCAAGGTAAGAGGCAAACTCCTACGAGGAGCGAGCATTTTATATCACGGTATGTTCATGCAGGAGGTGCACCAAAGGCACTCGGGTCATTTGAGCCCATCACATGTGGCAGAATGAAGGTGCTACGAATTTGATCGAGGTCGTCCAACAGGGGGCCTCATATTCGGCGTATGAGTTGCTGAAAAACTTATCGCTGTTCAAGGCCTGGATCAGCCTCAGCGGCCGTAAGCCGCGACACATCATGGGACCGTATCCCACTGGAACCATGTCTTCTTCTTTCGAGCCCGTCGCAGTCTGACTAGGTCAGGTCTGGACTTCTCAACTGCTTGCGAGCGTTCTTGTTTTTCCTGGTCCTTCAGCCACTTTCCCTGATGGCTTTGCTTGTTCTGTGTCACCCCTGCTGGTACGCACTCCGCGTTCTCGGCCCTCTCATGGTATCCCTCCCTCCCCTCCATGGTGTCCCGTCTCCCCCCGGGGCACCCCCCAACACCCAACCCTGACTTTTGCCCTTAACCCAGCACAACTGCAGAGGGAGCGGGTAAACCCTAAACCCTGAAGCCAATGGGGGGCGGGGATGGGTGGACGCGTAGAAACCCTAAAAGCTCGATCGACGCTTCTGCAAGGAGTTTTTGAGCTTGTCCCGGAAACCCACCGCGGCTTCCACGGTTTCCGATGCGAACTCGCACTCCAGAGAAGGCGCACCCAGCTTTGATCGAATGGGACACGACCCAGGAAGTACTTAGAGTTTGCTCATCGCGGCGTCGATTGGGTGCTTGGTCGTGTCTTTGATTCGAAGCGGTGCATGTGCAGATGTACATCTTCTTGTTTCAAAGACAGTTCAGACGCAGGGAGTGATCAGGGTGCTGTGTCGATCGAATGCTTCAACCCGCTCCCAGCCTCAGCAGGCTCTGCAGACAGTGGTATCTCGGACGGCTCGAACCAGGTGCCTGTTGCCGCTAAACGTTGTAGGCTTCACCAAGCCCAACGGTCAAAAACATCTGAACTAGGCCCTAACTAGGGTTGGATGTAGTGGCATCCTTGCAGCGCCGTGAGAGGCTGCTAGCCCAAAGCCTGGCGATTGGGGTTTGCAGAGGGTTCCCAAAGGCCAAAGGGAAGAGAGGGTGGAGTTGGGTGGAGTCTTGCCTTTCATATCCAGGAGCAGTTCCTGCCGCCGTGCCTCACAGGGTCTCAAGACAGCTCTGATGACGAGGACCTCGGGCCCAGGGCGGGTTGTAAGAGTCCACTGAGTACCGTATTCGCTTGAGCTGCCTGATCAAGGGCATGAAGCCAACTGTGTTGGCAGACCAAAATTCTCGTGTTGTGACGGCCAGTTGTTTCTTTGTTAAAAGCTTCGTACACTTGCTTCCTTTCGGTTCATTCCAAGCTGCTGTGGGTTTCGAACATCGTCCAGGGCCATGGCGCCTGCAGCAGAGACTTCGGAGTCAGCGCTGGTGCACCCCATCCAAGCCGTGGTTGATCCAGAGCTGGGGTTAAAACATGATGCTGTGACAAGCGTGGGACCCCCATGTGCTAAGCTCCTGGTGCTCGCGAAACGTTGTGCAGCGGTTTCATCACAGCTTTTTGCGAAGCTGCACTTCATGGGTTTGTTCTATTTACTTCTGCTCGCCTGGCTGTCGCTTTACTTGCAGTTGCTGACCAATGACGAGGGCTTCGCAAAGATGCAATGGTACCGTTACCTTTGCTGGGTATCAATCGGAGTCAATAGCCTTGTTTTACTGGGGGAAATGTGCTGGCGGATTTCTTCTGGAGTCAGAGATCGGAAATTGGACTGCCACATTGTCTTGCTGGCACTCTTACTGGCAGTGCAGCTTCTAAAGGAATTCCTGCCTGATGGCCACGCGGCAGAAATCCAGCATGTGGACTACGCCATCACCATCTCTGCTGCCTTAGCCATGCTGGGGAGGCCTTCACTGGCGGGTGACACAGAGCTGACGGACACACAAAAACAAGACGGCAAAGCCAAGCACAAGAACAAAAAGCAGAGCATGCTCGACGGAATCTAGGCCGCTCTTGTTCTTCTCAGCTGGCTTCCTTTACTAGGGACCCTACGAATAAACAGGACAATAAGTGCATATGAACGCGAAGCAGTTTGTTTCTGTTGATCTCTCTCTCTCTCTCTCTCAATCTCTCAATCTCTCAATCTCTCAATCTCTCTATCTATCTATCTATCTATCTATCTATCTATCTATCTCTCTCTATCTGTTCCTCTTGAGGAACCATGCTGGGGCTTTTCTTGATTTGGAAAGCCCATCGCATCGGAGTGGTTTGCTTCTTGCTGGTGGCTGTGTTGGATGCGGTGGCCATCCCAGCAACTGCGGCAGCAGTCAAGAATTTGACCAACGCCGTAACAAGAGGTGATGCCCGGGACGTGCTTTCTTCATCCGGGGTCTACATGGCCGTGATTGTCAGCGCGGCACTGCCCTTCATGATGTTGACTTATGTGACAGCGATCATTCTCGCCCAAGGACTCGTGAGACTGCAGACCAAGATCAGCGAACGCATGATCTACATGGAGTTCAACGAGTCGTCCAAGTTTTCTCATGAAGATTGCCAAGATGTATTTCGGTCGGACATCGCGCGGATGGAGAAACTGATGAACATGATGCTGAAGCAGTTGCTCGCACCTTTCATGAAGCTTGCCATTGCCCTGTGCTATGTCACCTACGTGCGAGCCGAAGTGGGGTTCTTGGCTATGACCATCTTCCCCTTCATCTTCATCACTGTCCCGGACTCGAGGCGGGGAGCCGAAATCCATGAATTCATGAATCATTCGCTTTGTGAATTTCTTGCATCTTTCAGGTCGAAGAAGGCCTCCACAGCTTTCAAGGATGCCACCTCCAAGGTTGCCGCGGTTTTCTCCAATGCCTTGTCGTGCCATTCCATGATCTGGCATACTGACGCGCAGCAAGCCTGGATGAAGGACATCCTCCTTCCCCATACTTCAGAGGTGAGGCGCTCGAAGCGCCGCGTGGAATTCTGGTCTGGCGTTGTTGGAGGTTATATCACCCAGATGCTTCAACTGTTCGTGGCCCTACACATTGTCATCTTGGCAAACATGGCTGTTCAAGGAACGTTGACGGTGGGAGATTTCACTGGTATTGTGGCGCTCTTTACGCAACTTGCCTCTCCAACGACCAAACTTGGGGCGTTTGTGAAGGAAATCACGAAGCTTTCCGGGGCCACGCAGAGTGTGGCAGAATTCCTGGCCACAAAGAACGAACAGCCCAAAGGATTATTGTGGGACTGGCAGAGGAACCTCAGCCGCAACGTTATGGGCGCCGTCTTGTTGACAAGTCCCCACATGCCCGAACAGGGAGAGGCCGAAGTCTCTGTTGTGCCGGTGGCGCCCGGCTTCTGCCACCGAATCCAACCAGGATCCTTGGTATCCTTCACCAGCGAGGAAGGTGGCCCTGTGCCTGAGTTCCTGAAGTTGTTCAACGGATATGGAAGCCATGGCCTTTGTTTACGTCCCGAGAACTACAAGGGTCCGACGTGGACTGCAGTGCAACGCCTGAAGAGCCGCACGGCTGTTTTGTCAAAGGCACCAAGCATTCTGACGGGCAGCGTCCGAGATAACATCTGCTTTGGCGCTGCGCAGATCAGTGAGGAGAGGCTGCTGCAAGCCGCAAGGCTGGCTGGGCTCAATCTCGATGAGTACTGCAGTGAAGGGTCTGACAGGTCTGGTGGTTCTGATGGGCCGTGTTGCCTGAACTTCTCTACGCAGCTTGGTGAACGATGTGTCTTGGACCCGGAGCTTGCGCAACGGATCTGCCTGGCACGGGCGATATACAGCAGACCTTCCCTGCTGCTCTTGGACCAAGCCACTGCTGGCTGGGCACCAGAAATGGAAGCCAAGTTCTTCAACACGCTCCTTGCAGTACAGCAGACGGAGGACTTTGCAAACATGTCTGTGATCAACAACTCCTCCCACATGACACAGGCCATGGTCGATGCAGGCTTCGCTGAGACCGTCTTCAAGATGAAAGATGGTCATTTGGAAGTCGGAGACTGTGGTCGGACGGTGTGACGTAAGTTATCCAGTCAGTGCGCAATGACAAGAGCCGTGTGAGCTTGAGTAATTAACATTGCCGTGACATATGCCCAAGTAAGTTTTGAAGACTTGGCATTGCTGTACAGTGTAAAGCTTGAATAGACCGAGTCCCTGATGTGCCAGAATGAGCCGCTCCCACATAGCTCACAAGCCAGCTGAAGCAGGTGGGGTGAATTCGTCCATTTGATCGAACGCATCAAACGGATCAGCTGCCATAAAGTGCAACTCGGCTGATCTCGGCAAAGCAGGCAGCAAGCTCAGCGAATGATCCTAGGCACGTTTTGACCGAAAGAAAAGGTGGCGCTCCCACGTGTGTCACATGAGAGGAGCACAGCTGTCAACGACAGATGTAAACCAGCCCTCAAAATCCCTTTCAGCCCTAAAGCCTCAAGCCTCTAAACTTTGGCGCAGGACCTCCTGTTTCCGATGCACCTTGACTCCAGGCCAAAGGCACACACCTACACGGAGGCCGACAGAGCTGGATTGTTACAGGGTTTCCCCACCCCATCTAGGAGAGTCTCTTGAGAAGGCGGTTGCAGGGTTTATGGTTCTTCGACGACGCGCGCAGGAGGACGGTTTTGGGGTGGTTTAAGGCCCCCACCGCCTCAGGGAGACACATACCCGGCAGACGTAATGCGGCGCAAGCCGAGACGGCTGCCCAAAGCCGTGGGCTCAGATATGTGCACAAGGGTGGAGTTGCGGAGCTTTGACTTGGTACAGGCTTTTGAGAGTTTGGCCTCCACTGACCTTCATGTTGTTTTGGGGTGCTTCGAAATCCGAAGTCAGAACCCTCCAGCAAAACGACCTACACACCTTGGGACTCCAAGTAGCCGCCCCCTAAACCCTCGAGCACAAGAACTGCACCCTAAACCTTCCCAGCCCTTCAACACGCCACGGAAGCCAGTCGCCTCGAAGGTCAGGAACGTCGACTCAGAGCTTGCGGACCCGCAACTTGGCTCTGGCTTATTGCAGTCCTGTGTTTGGCAGGAGGAGAGGGGTTAGGTTGGGTTTCGGAGATGGTGCCTCGGGCCTCGAGGGTTTAGGGATGTGTGGGGCGTATGATGGAGGAAGTTTCGCCGGGAGCCCTTCTCACACTCTCCCACCCAAAAAACCCGAAAGCGCGTTAGGACCCGCCCCATATTGCCACCTCGGACCAGAGCCCTTCAACTTTCGACAGAAACCTGAACCCTCATTTGGCGTATGGGTCTTCCACGGGAATGCATCTCTGGGTTTAGGTTTGGACTTCTTCAAGTAGTGCCTCCAGACGTCACCAAGAGAGGAGAGCGCCGGACGTTCAGACCCCCGACCCCCGAGGATGTTGGATGAGCCAGCGAGCCCCCATCGAACCCGAGCATCCATCACCTTCAGCTTCTGAGAGTTCCACGGCGTTTGGGGGTTCTCGCATACTCTTCTCAGGGTTGAAAGCTTAAAAAGGTTGAAGGTTATGTTACGTTACGTATCCCATGCGGCTTCGGAGACTGGTGTGGAAATGCCTGGCTCTCTAATTCTCCACTGAGAACCAGCTTGTTAGAGGTGTAGGGGCCTATGGCTTGAGGACAAGGATTCAGGGGGGAAAATTCACATACTTTGCCTTGCGGCACATGTCTGTCGCTTTCTCTTCCTTAGGATGGTACATCCACCCATGCTCTTAAACATGCAGTCCCCAAGCACACAGCCATGCGCAGCGTAACCCTAAAGCCCCGGATGAAAGTTTCGGGGTCCGGGCCCTTTAGGGTTGAGGAGCCTAGAACAAAACGATGGAACCTCAAACGGCTTTGGGGGCCCTTCTTGCGCAAGCCCCAGAGCCCCAGACGCCGCGGAAAGCATCTTTGAGACTTGGGTAAGCCAAGTCAACCCCAGCCTGGTGATCCTCCTCTTGACAGCTCCTGGAGAGCCGGGGAGGAGGACAAGGATGACTGTTGAGCCCTTTTCAGGCGTTTTTGGTGAGTCTGGGCCCTACGGCCAAGCCCCAGGGCTTGCTACAAGTAGCTCGAAGAGTCCGACCTGAGCATGAGTCTCTGTCGGCTTTCCCCTTGGGATGCATTCTGAGTTCTAAGCCCAAACCGTACATGCCCCCCAAAGACCCACGTGCCGAAGCAGACCTCGCAGATTCCTAAACGAGAGCCCTGAGAGCCTTTAGAAAGTTGCGTTCCAACAGTTTGCGCTCACCCGCTGCCTGCCAGCCTTCTGCCGATCGAAGCAGCTTTGGTGCCGCAAGGGTTTTTAGATGGACCTCTTACCACGGCCCGCGCCACGCATGAGACCTTAAACCTAGATACAGGTTTCAGGTTTACGGGCCTTGCCCTGCTGAGAAAACACGAAGGCTGTCAGCGACAAGATGGGTTCGCCACCCTACTACAGTCGCCAAGAATCGCCCGCTTCGGCAGGGTCTGTAGCTTAAAGGCAGACACAAGCACTGGCTTTCTGAATACGGCACCTGGCATGTTCAGGGGTAAGGATTGCGGGAGTTCCGCTTTTAACCAGGCGGCTGCTACTGCAGACGCTTTCAAGCTTGCAAGAAGTGAACCAAGGTGAACGACCCCATTAACCGCACAGCCCCTTCATGCTCAATGCCCCATCATCCCGAGGTTAGATGGTTTTCCGCTTCGGAATTTCACCCGCAGTTTGAGGTTCAGAACTTATTATCCGCTTCACATTTGCTAGATGAAGCAGATGTAGGGGAGCACTGGTGCCAAGATGGAAGTTGTGCCACATCCTGTCTGGAGTTTTTGACCCATTTGCTTGCCTCCATTGGGGCATCTGCCAAGCAGACGCGCCCTTTTCCAAACGGTACATGGGTTTGAGCAAAGTGTTCCGCATGGGTCATGCCTCAGCTTCGGAAGTAAGTGAACCCTGCAAGCCCCCATCGCCGAGCCCCCGAATCTACTGAAGCAGTGATGGTTCATGGCTCAATCCTGTTGGTTCGAGCAAGCTTTTCCGGGAGCTGCTGCCCCTCAAACTCGGGTCTCGACTCTAGAATATGGAACGTGCCAACTTGAGGACAACAGCCCGCGGTGGGGGATCGCCAGGCTCCCGATTGTCTCTTTGAGCCCGACTGCATCTTCCACTGTCGGGTTCACCGTCGGGCATCCAGAACCGACTTGCACCTCAGCGCTGCGGAATGTTTGGCCCACGCGACGGTGCCTCCAAGCTCTAAAGTGCATCGGGCCCCATCATTTGCATCGTGTTGGCCAGCCATCATGCATCCACCCAGAGCTGAACCACAAAAACCGTTCTTGCTCAGCTGGCTCTGAGCTCAAGTGGCAAAGGAACTGAGTCCCTGTTCCATTTGTTGTGTGTTCTTGGCCCCCTCTTGAAATCTGATGAGCCCAATAACAGCCACCATCACTCACGGACTCAAACTGACTCAAGAAACAACCCCCCCCACCCGCCGGCCCCCCAATTTTCCTTGCGCCGCCATGCTGGCATCGTTCAGACGGGCTGTGCTTGGTGGCACCCTGGGTGCGAACCCGATTGGGACACATCTTTCGCAGGGTTCCCTCTGCAGTTGGCACCACGGTCGGCGATGGTTTGGTCGCGAGACTGGGGTTGCTTGGCAAACGTTAGTGTGCGCCCACGCATGCCGAATAACGTCAGCCAATTCCCAAGATCAGGTGTGCTGGTTGGAGTTGCAGGTCAGTGAAGGCGGGACTTTTTGTGGTTGTGGGTCAAGGGGTTAGGGATGGCATGCCATGCCACGCAGAGGGGGGCCATCGCCTCACTGTACAAGAGAACCCCCCAACGGGCCCCTAATTCAGAGACCAACTCCCACATGGCACTCATACGTCCAACTTATGGCAATGCGTGGGGTGATGCTAGCCTGCCTAGGTGGTCGTGAAGTGGGACGGCGAGCGCGGCTTTGGCAAGGTGAAGCGCGATGATGGCACGGAGTTCTTCGTGCACAGCAGCTACTTGCAGCAGACGCCTATGTTCCTCGGCAGACTGGACAAGAATAGACGTCAGGAATCAGGAACGAAGGGTCCTCTATCACACGTGGCCACGGATCTTCATACCCCAACCACGAGATGACCCCCCTTAAAAGGGTCGTTTGTAGCACAGCCAAGCGGTGTGGCCGGTGACCCGTAAACCTTCGCCGAGGTCTGAAGGTCAGGCCGTGACCTTCGAGGCCCCCGAGTCCAAATTCCTTTCGGATTGGGGAGGGAGGGAGAGGGAGAGAGCCGGACACGGAACGTGAAAGGCATCGCAGGGAGTTTGAAGGAAGACGTCGGGAGGGTGATGAGGGTCGGGGTAGGGGTTGAGGGTGAGCTGGGTAATGCACGCCTATGTGCGCAGAAAGAAAGAAAAGAAAGAAAGAAAGACATAGAGACAGAAGGAAGGAAAGAAAGAACGAAAGTAAGAAAGTTGCAAGAGTTTCAAGTTAAGGCACGAACCCTAATCCCATTAACAAGGTATACCGGAACACCCCATCGGGGTCTGCTGTCGGTTGGGAGGCACGAGGTGACTTAGAGGTGACTCCGCAGGCTGCGCCTGTCTCTGGATGTCGAAGGTTATTAGCATATGATTGGGGTTCTGGGGTTTGAGGGGTGGAGGCTTCAGGGTACCGGGGGGGGGGGGGGGGGGCTGCGAAGGTCCGGTGGAACGACAAGCACAAGCAGCACCACGCAATTGACGTGGGCCTCCGTCAGTCGCCCGCCAGCACCCCCGCAGTTCAGCTGCCGGACTTCGGGAGCAACGTGTCAGCAAGAAGCTGCCTGTCCCTTATGAGCCTTCGCTATGAACCCTATATAACGCCCTATAAGCCCTAAAGTGTCCTAATCTCAACTCGACGAGGTCTGCGCTTGGGATGAGAAGAACCGCCCAAAAACACCGCGCCGCTCGCCAGGCGTGGGGAACCTTCCTCAGCCGGAGCTGCTCCAGGCTGGGGCCTTTGCATGTCTTGGGGACCTAAGGTGGGTTTGTAGGGCTTGCTGGCCGGTGCCGCGAGGCAGGAGTTCAGGATTAACTTGCTCGTGCCCTCGTGTGGCTGGGTTGGGAAAAGCGTGAAGCCCGCAAAGCACGATCCGGCAAGAAGATGCGCCCACAACGCCAAGAAAACCTGCCAGTCTGATCCTACTTCCCAGAACTTTAAACCACTCCACACCCGAAGGTGGAGCCAATGAGTCTCCCGCCCGACGCCTCGGACCGGCAGCACCTGGAAATGCTAGTGTCGCAGAGTCTTGGCGAAGCCTCTGTAGTTTCCTTATCAGAATGATGCTTTGTTTTTGTGTGTAGATATGTATATGTCTATCGCAGAGGGTAAGCCCCCAAAGCCCAAATTCCAAACTCCAAATAAAGGCGGGTTGATTGAGAGCGTCTAGGACGTTTGTAGTCTAGGGTTGCCTGGATCCCGCAAAGCAGAACGTCACCAAGTTACCAAGGACGGAGCAGCTACGGAAACAAGGCCGGCTGAAGTCACCTGCAGCCGGCCGAAGTTATCTGCAGCTCCCGTGGCAGTAGCCTGATGTCCTGTGCCCCCAGATGCTGTTGCACGATTGAGCCTCCTTGAAGTCCACAAGCATGAAATCAAACCGGCCCTGACAAACATGCCTCTCCTACACCTTGCCCTCCCCGTGCAACCTCCGAGATGGGAAGATTCCAAGATATTCCAAGCCTCAAAGCCTTCAAGCCCCCAAGCTCCCCACAGTTTTGTATCCAGGCCACCAGAGCCAACAGCTCTTGGTGCAGAACCAGCAGCTGCTTCTCTGAAGATGAGCTGAGCTCCCTCTTGCCCCCTTTTCGAAAAGGTCAAGCATTTGAAGGGTTTGTGGCATTGTTTGGGGCCTGCTTTGTAGGCTGGCCGTCCAGAGCGACATCCTCGAAGCCCCTAGACCCCAAAGCCTTTGAACCTGAACTCATGACTTTTGGCGGTCGAACACATGGGGCCGGCCAAGGGCTCAAGGCACCTGGAAGTTCCGACGCCCAGGCAAACTTCTAGTAGCAGCAACACTGCATCAACCACAAACGTCCGTAGATCCGAACGCCTATAAACATCCCCGGAACCATTTGCAGTCTTGATATGCCCAGACGCCTAGGCTTCTTGTCCAGGGCCTTTTCGCTTTGATCCAGCAGCCGCCTGTGCCGCAAGACAATGTAAAGGTGCTGGTTGGGGTGAGGCGCGCGCGCGCGCGCGCGTGCTCGCACGTGCAGGCAGGCAAGCAGGCAGGCAGGCAGGCAGGCGTGCGTGCGTGCTTGCTTGCTTGCTTGCTCGCGCGCGCAGGCAGGCGTGCTTGCGTGCGTGCGCGCGTGCGTGCGTGAGCACCAGCACCAGCACCAGCACTGCCTGGTTGAAAGCCATGACATGAAGCAGCCCAGGGGCCGTGGTGACTTGAATTTAACTCCCCCAAAATGATGAAATCACAATGAATGCAACGGGCCAAATCATTATAAATTATAAGTGTTGCCTGACGCTGCTAGACCCTCTGGATGCAACAGTGCAACAGAGAAGACACTCATAGTCAAGTGCACAATGCCTTCAGAACACCACCGCCAAGGGTCTCGGGTGCTAACACGGTCAAAGTTGGACCGCAGCCTCAAGCCCAACATAAAAGGACGCCCTGCATGGTTCCGGCAGAGACATCCCTGAATCTCTACCCCTCTAAGAAGCCTGTAAAGCAGGAACCCAAACCCCAAACCTCAGGCAGAGCATCCAAAACGCCAACCTGGAGCGCGCGCTCCGGGCGCTGACGGATCGCATGGGTGCCCGTGAGCCGGCGCAGGTCTGGGGTCTTCAAAGGGTTGCCGTTGAACAGGGGTAGGTTTGAAATGTTAGAAGTTTTTTCAATTACCCTTAACCCCCTATGACATCCTCATAAAGCCAAAAACATTAAACTTGTATGGGGCCCCCAAACCTCCCCCAGTGAAGCGGTTCACTGTGCTTGCAGGGTTGTGGGCTCCTTTTCCCAAAGCTTGTTGGCAGAGGACATCGAACTTGCGAAGCCATGGTGCGGAGTGAGAGCAACCTCGGAGTCCCTAAGCCACCACATGCAACCTAAAGGATGGAAGGCCTAAACTTAAACCCGGAGCCCAGTCAGCGCTAGGCGGGTGGCAGCAAACAGCAAGCGGAGCTGCAGGACACGCTGCCGGGGGCGCAGCCTCGTGTTGACACACAGGCGCGGGTTTGTGGCCTGGTCGAACCCTCAAGAAACACATGCTGACTGCAACTCCAAATGCTAGGGGAAGGAGACCCAACTTCAGAAGAACTTCAACGCAGTACTTTTGGGCTGATGATGGCACTGTACGCATCTTGAACGCAGAGTATAGGAGGATTCCTTGTTTCTGGGGAATCCGAGTCATTCCAGGTGAATCTCAAGATTGTTGTACGGTCTCACTGCCGCGTACTACACCAATGTAACTGTTGGAACGCATGGCAACACCCATCGCAGGTCGCTCAGGACGGGCCTGACGAAGAAGCAAAGGCAGATTTCACCTCCGAAGCTGTTTCTTTGCCATTAGCACGGGTATAAGTTGGCATCGCTGGAGCCCGTAGCCGCATCGAATCTTAATCACGGCGTTGCAGTTCGACAGATTTTCACTCTGGGTGCTTTCAATTTGGGTGGTTGGCCCGGGTCGCCGTCTTGTGCCGTGGCTCTTGGAAGCACCCTGCAAGCTGCGCTGGCACAGGCCGACGCGGTCGATGACGAGATGCCGCCTGTGAAGGCACGAGCCATTAGGATTTTGGAAGAGGGTGAGGACTGGGTTTACAAGTGTTTAAAGGATTTCGGCTTCGCCATCATCGCGGCTATCGAAGTTGTTCAGCACAGAGGACAGCACCATAACGCTCTGGACGTTGCGTACCTGAAGAGTATCCGAATCGCTCTGCTACCACGCACGCCCTTTGTTGTTGCCTCTCCTGCTGCAATTCCTGTCCCGACCGTATAGAAACCGAACCGACCATTGAAACCTTAAATGCCTTTCCCATAAGGATGAACCTGCCTTTGCAACGCCTAAACACGAAGAGTTTTCTGAGGAGGCAACAGAGGTGCCAGAGACACAGCCGCTCCCAGAGGACGGCCGTCTCTTTAGGCCAATAATCTGAAGTTATGGTCCATAGGATTACTCTTGAGAATTCAGGAGCCTGGGTCCCGAACATATTCTACGTAGGTGCTCGGCGGTTGCTGTACGGTATGAGGGACCCTAAGGGTCATGCAGGGCCAATTTGGGGGGCTTCTCAGGTTCTGAGAAGGGGAGTTGTGTTCATAGGGCAGCAGGGTGAAGGTAGGGTCCTTTGTGTAAGCCTTATAAGCGATCCGATGATGAAAGATATTTGCCAAGGATCGCAATTTAGAACGGCCTGCCACAGTTTGGCGTTTGCAGTTGCATGGGGCTGCGATGCCAGGTTCAAAGGCTTTGGGGTGCTGAGGGCAGGCTATAAGAATCTGTGTAAGCCCAGATTGGCCTCTTAGAGTTTGATGTTGTTGTGATGACCAATGTGTCGTGTTTTTTCACTTTGCTCGAGACATCTTTGCCTGCATAAGCACTAGCTGCGAGCATCTTTCCCTGACCTGGGCACGTCTCTCCCCTGCAGGTGGTGGAGCCTGTAGAAGCGCAGGCGAGTGAGAAGGCTTCCGGTGGAGTCTGCGGGGCCTAGCCCGAATCCCAAACCATAGCTTCAACTACCGAGGTGGCCTTGTTGAGGTGGAAGCGCCGAGAGATTTGTGGCTTGCGCTTCCGCTTCTGTTCATGCCTGCTTGGCGCTTTGCGAGGCAGAGGAGGCTGTTGGCAAGCAAGAGCCGGAGGCGTTTAGGGTGGGGGCGGGGGGGGGGTTGGAGTTTGGCAGGGCATACACCAAGCGCCTGGTTTCCAACAAAAAAGGTTGGGGTGTGTATAGGTTCAGACCGGTAGAGAGGGTTCATGATTCAGGCACCTTGGGTTTGGCTGTGCTGTGGCCTAAACCCAGAATCATGCCGCCCAGTGGCCCGAAACCCGAACGCGGTGAACGGGCGTGCAATCTTTGCTTGCAAGTGCAAGGCAACAACGGCACGCAAACCAGTGAGATGTCGCAGAGGCGGACTTAATGTGAGGCGACATGTCCATCGCCTGGCTCCCGAAAAATGGTCAAAGCCCACACGTGACCTCCCACGAAGCCAAATTAAATAGACTTTCAGCGTAGCAGGGCGAATCCGGCTCAGCTCGGATTGAATGCCATGGCGCGTCGGGCGCTGCTGCAGCCAGGGCACGAAGAGGAGCTCCTTGCAACAGAGGGGCTCGCACCGTCGTTGGCTCAACGCCAGAAGGTTGGTGTTTAGGTTTCAGGTCTACGTATGCAGCATGTTGCACGTTTACCCAGCGGTTGCACGGCAGGTAGGCTTCTCCAGTATTTGGGTGTGCAGGCTGTTCAGTCCAACAGAAGGTCCCAATGCAGCAGTTTTGGGCTCGCACTTGCAGCGTCCGAGTCGGCATTTGGACACCTTTTGTCGCCATGGCCACAGTTTCGCTTCTGGCACTAGTTCTCCCGGCTTTCTCGGCGGCTCAGGGATACCAACAGTACATGAGCGAGTATGCTGCCCCGTACCAGAACTACATGCAGGGCGGCAATGGCGGGGGTGGCGACTATCAAAAGTACTTCAAAAAGTGCCTCCGACGACACCCATTCAGCTAAAGCAGCTAAAACATGCTACGCCAAGAAAATCAGTAGCAATGCAGTCGCTCCCGACAAGACTGCACCTTCGTAACCCCCACTGTATGTGGTGCCCCTGGGCTCTGGCCCACCTTTGAAGTCCCGCCCTGTCAAGGTACATGACTCAGTACGGCTCAGGTGCCGCTGGTGGCTATGAGAGCTTTATGGCGAAGCAGCTGGGCGAGTGTCTTGAGTTTGGGGTTCCAGGATTTTCGGGAGATTCCTACCATGAGAGGAGGAGAGGTGTGACTCTTGTGGCGTCTTGCTAGCTCACGTCTGCAACGTGAGGATTGGATGTCTAGCATTCGTATGAAGTGAAGGTGCAATTCCTGTGGAATAGTTATTCGTATGAGTGTTACAGTAGGACGGTGGGCATTTCTGGAGTAAGTACCACGAAAAGAATGATGTATCGGCCAGCAAACAATGCACCAAGCGACCAAGCGAGGCTATGCAAGAGCCGAGGAGTGCTCGGCACGTCTTAGCCTTGCGCACTTTGGAACCTTAGGTACGCAGGGGGCTATGCCAGCAAGTACATGCCGTCTTCCGGGTCGTCAGCGGAAGAGTCGTCTGGAGAGGCAGAGCAGCCAGTGAGCTTCGCCGCCGCAAAGGCCTTTCAAGGGTCGAAAGCCAATGAACCTTACTAATTTGGGCTACGTTTCCCTTTCTGCAAATTAAGACTTAGACTTAGATCCTCCGCCCCTGATTTTCGTTTAGGACGCCAGCAGCTCCAAGAAGGATTCCTCCACCAAAGACCCGGCCTCTTGGAACTTTACAAGAATCGTCCTTAGTAGGCAAGAAGGGTGACACCACGAGTTTCGGGTGTTGGATCTAGTGCGATGCCAGCTTTCTAATTGGATTCTGTTTGCCCGGAAGAGAATCCGGAACAACATGCTCCGCGTCAGAAGAATGAGAGGTAAACACTAACATTGATTCCAGTAGACTTGATTGTTACCGACAGGATAATGTAAATCATTGCCAGCACCAGCATTCATGTCCTGCTCGGGCGATGAGATGATGCCTCGAAAGGAAAGCGCTTCTCATCATGGAGCTGGGGGTGGTGACTATCAGCAGTACATGGACTATTCCAAGTACACGCAGAATCACGGCTCGCAGGGTGGTGACTACAGCAAATACATGCAAGGGCAGGGCTCGCAGGCGAGGCGGTCTTCCAAAAAGTGGGTGTTGAATGTCACAGGCTGAAGCTTCAGTGGCCGAAGTGGGCTGACGAATCCGAGCCGACATTGTAGCGACTGGAACGAAGCCAGTTAGAACGAGACACAGAGTTGACTGCTGCTAAAGTTCCGGTTGGATGTCAAGCACACGAATGGCTTGTCTGGGTTGGGGTTAAGCCCTCACCTGTCAGCTTCTAAGTTCTCAGTGTTCCCGGAATGATGCGTTTGATTTCAACCTTGAACATGCCATGCCCTGATCGAGGGCGGCGGTTATCAGCAGTACATGGATTACTCCAAGTACACGAAGAATCACGGCTCGCAGGGCGGTGACTACACGCAGTACCTGCAGTCCTATGCCGGGGACTCCAGCAAATACATGCAAGGGCAGGGCTCGCAGGCGAGGCGGTCTTCCAAAAAGTGGGTGTTGAATCTCACAGGGTCAAGCTTCAGTGGCCGAAGTGGGCTGACGAATCCGAGCCGACATTGTGGCGACTGGAACGAAGCCAGTTAGAACGAGACACAGAGTTGACTGCTGCTAAAGTTCCGGTTGGATGTCAAGCACACGAATGGCTTGTCTGGGTTGGGGTTAAACCCTCACCTGTCAGCTTCTAAGTTCTCAGTGTTCCCGGAATGATGCGTTTGATTTCAACCTTGAACATGCCATGCCCTGATCGAGGGCGGCGGTTATCAGCAGTACATGGATTACTCCAAGTACACGAAGAATCACGGCTCGCAGGGCGGTGACTACACGCAGTACCTGCAGTCCTATGCCGGGGACTCCAGCAAATACATGCAAGGGCAGGGCTCGCAGGCGAGGCGGTCTTCCAAAAAGTGGGCGTTGAATCTCACAGGGTCAAGCTTCAGTGGCCGAAGTGGGCTGACGAATCCGAGCCGACATTGTGGCGACTAGAACGAAGCCAGCTAGAACAAGACACTGAGTTGACTGCTGCTAAAGTTCCGGTTGGATGTCAAGCACACGAATGGCTTGTCTGGGTTGGGGTTAAACCCTCACCTGTCAGCTTCTAAGTTCTCAGTGTTCCCGGAATGATGCGTTTGATTTCAACCTTGAACATGCCATGCCCTGATCGAGGGCGGCGGTTATCAGCAGTACATGGATTACTCCAAGTACACGAAGAATCACGGCTCGCAGGGCGGTGACTACACGCAGTACCTGCAGTCCTATGCCGGGGACTCCAGCAAATACATGCAAGGGCAGGGCTCGCAGGCGAGGCGGTCTTCCAAAAAGTGGGTGTTGAATCTCACAGGGTCAAACTTCAGTTGCCGAAGTGGGCTGACGAATCCGAGCCGACATTGTGGCGACTAGAACGAAGCCAGCTAGAACAAGACACTGAGTTGACTGCTGCTAAAGTTCCGGTTGGATGTCAAGCACACGAATGGCTTGTCTGGGTTGGGGTTAAACCCTCACCTGTCAGCTTCTAAGTTCTCAGTGTTCCCGGAATGATGCGTTTGATTTCAGCCTTGAACATGCCATGCCCTGATCGAGGGCGGCGGTTATCAGCAGTACATGGATTACTCCAAGTACACGAAGAATCACGGCTCGCAGGGCGGTGACTACACGCAGTACCTGCAGTCCTATGCCGGGGACTCCAGCAAATACATGCAAGGGCAGGGCTCGCAGGCGAGGCGGTCTTCCAAAAGTGGGTATTGAATGTCACAGGCTGAAGCTTCAGTGGCCGAAGTGGGCTGACGAATCCGAGCCGACATTGTACCGACTGGAACGAAGCCAGTTAGAACGAGACACAGAGTTGACTGCTGCCAAAGTTCCGGTTGGATGTCAAGCACACGAATGGCTTGTCTGGGTTGGGGGAAAATCCTCACCTGTCAGCTTCTAAGTTCTCAGTGTTCCCGCAAATGATGCGTTTGATTTCAACCTTGAACATGCCATGCCCTGATCGGCAGACTAATCGCTTGGCTCCACCTCACCTGGGTCACAACCCGCATGTTGTGATGTAGTGCGCGTGAAACCATGTTATTCTGAACCCCGCCCAGCCCATCTGTGAGGATGTGGTTGTGATGCACCGCGTGAAACAACGTCATTATTCACCCCCCCGACCACCCTTGCTCCCCCGGCCCCCACCCCCCAACTCAGTGCATATGAGCGGCTGCCTAAGTGTGTTTGCGGTGGACACGAGTTGTTGCGAGTGACTACAGCAAATACATGCAAGGGCAGGGCTCGCAGGCGAGGTGGTCTTCCATTGTTGAAACTTACGCGACGCAGGCCCAAGGCTACTCATCATATTCTGTTTGAGGACGGAGCTGAGTTGTTCTGCTGTCCCCATTTCGCACTAAGCCTCAAGAAACCGGGGCCCTGTTCCAGGGAAGTGGCTATCAGCAGTACATGAACTACTCCAAGTACACGCAGAACCACGGCTCGCAGGGGGGGGGCTACAAGCAGTACATGCACGACTATGCCAAATATATGCAAGGACAAAGCGGACAGGGGTCCTCTGGCAGCCCTGTTCTTTTGGCAGCCGACCCTAAAGCCACCCCCAAGGAATCGGACTCTGCGGACTCTGAGCATGCGAAATCTGCGAAGTCCGATTCCAAGCATCAGTCTTCCCATCGAAGCGGGCAGCACGTCTCCGAGCGCCAGCGTGAGCAGCTCGAGCGCCAGCGTGAGAAGGAGCAGCTGCATCAGGAGCTGCAGGCCGAAAGGGCGAGCCTCCGTGCCGAGCTTGCATCAGAGAAAGCCCGGCTGCGGGATGAGCTGGCGGCCGAAGCCAAGGCAGCTGCCGCAAAGGCAGGTAAGGACGGGAAGGAGCCAGCCAACGCCGAAGGCCTTGTTGAGTCTCCGGCACTGTTTGTCAGTCAGGACACAGAGCAAGCGAAGGCAGCGAAGGAGAGCGAAAGGCTCCAGGAAGAGAAGCAACGCCTCCGCGAGGAGCTGGCCTCGGAGCACGCTCGCCTGCACAAGGAGCTTGCTGCA